GAGAATCTGAGATAACAAGGTGTAGAGCTGGATGAACACGACAGGCCAAGCAGCATCACAGGAGCAGGAAGGCTGATGTTTCCGGCCTAGACTGATGAAGGGTCTAGGCCCGAAACGTCAGCCTTCCTGCTCCTGTGATGCTGCTTGGCCTGCTATGTTCATCCAGCTCTACACCTTGTTATCTCATAGTCTTAAGGGGTGACTGATTCACTGCAGCAGCAGAATAATATTTTGTGCATCACAAGGTAGCTGGAAGTTGTAGTTGAATTACCCAGCCATGTTGTGTATGACTATTATTGCAGCATTACTGTTGTAAAGTGTAGAGGCGGTTGGGTCAAAGAGTGCGATTATATGGTTCTGATCACTGGGGAGAAGGTGCACATGAGGTTGAAGATGCTTGTGGCCTAGTTAGATGGTGGGCTGTAATTACTAGGTATATTCACAAAATAGAATCAATAAATTTGAATACATTTGTGTTCTTAAATTTGAACTTTTTATATTATCTTTTCCTCTGTCAAGATCAAACATGATCATTCTAATACAATAGACTGATCTCATGAAATATCATGTACATGAAATGTTAACTGATTTTTCTCTCTGTGAATGCTTTCTGATAGTCTGAGTATCCTGGGCACTTTATTTTTTTTTCAGATTTCCAGCATCTGCAGTATTTTGCTTCAGTCGTTTCTAAGGCTTTCATGATTATCCTACATGATCCACCCCTCAAAAACACTTAACCAAATAAATAGCTGCTGTGGTCCTTTATTCCTTTAAATCCCAGTCACCTACTGGGATCTCCACTGGCTTCCCATTTTCTCCAGTGCATTGATTTTGAAATTATTCCACTTGTCTAGAAATTTCTCTACTTTGCCCTACTCTAATTCTGCAACTTTCTCCAGTCCTGTGCCCCCAGTTGCTCTTGGTGACCTTCCATGCATATTCTCACCAGGCATCTGACTGCTCTTTCATTGTTCATATTTTCTTTCCTTGTTTTCAAAAGGTCACCAGAATCAAGCCAGTCAACTATGGCTTTGGACACTTCCAGTAACCTCAGTCAGT